TATATAAAAATATTGTTGTTCACCACATATATATACCACTTTTAAAATTTTGAATTTTTTTCTTATATATCTATATTTCTATATCTAAATTTCTGAGGAACTTCAAATCCAATATCAATAAAATAGGATCATTTTTTTCCAAAAAAAAAAAAAACCACAGGATAAAAAAAAAAAAAAAAAACACAGGATCATATTATTTAGTTTTTTTAAAGAAATTGATGCTAATTAAAGTTTAACCTTATCATTTTCAAAAAAATTAAAATCTAATTTTATAATTAATAATAATTTTTTCACCATCTATAATTATTTTATTAAATATATTTGACTTTAAATGTTGTTCTATCATATTAAAATTAGTTTAAAAAGAATATTTTTTGCTTATAATATGAATATTATTAATCATGTGTTAATATTATATAAATATACAGAGAATATAAGAGAAAAATTATAATCATAGATACTATATAAGAATATAAAGAATATAAAGAACGAGCAATATCGAATCCAACGAACGTGACAAAAAATACTAGTAACATTCAAATACAAAAACAACTTGTCTTATATGGCATTTAATGCATTTGGTACCGTCATGGTAATATATTTATAACAATTAATTAATTAATAGATATTATAAAAATATTTATAAAAGAACATTAAATTAATTAAAGTTATATAACTAACTAATTAATAGATATCATAAAAAATATTTGTAAAAGAACATTAAATCAATTAAAGTTACGTGCAGTTTAGTTAAAATTTTAAGAAAAATAATTAATAACTATATTTAAATTATAATATGTATATGTAATATAGAGCATATATTGTAAGGAAAGTACTTAAATCTTACACTATAGATATATTTTGATAGCTATATTCGAATTAGGAAAATTAACATTAGCGAGAATATTATATTATAAATATTAATTTATGGAACATTTTATGTAAATTTGAATAAAATCTTATTAGCATCACAAAAAAAAGTAGCTATGGAGTTAACAAATAAAGAATTTACCTTTCCAATCTCATTGGGAAAGAAGGAATTGCAGAAATCATAGCCAGGATCTAGCTAGAATATTATATTATAAAATATTAATTACAAAATATTTTCATATTTAGAATTAGATTAAACTTTCTAATAGAATTTAAATTTAAATAAAAAATTAACAATTATATTATTTTTATTTTTTAATTAAACTATATATAATCAACTAATAAAATGTAATTTTTTAATTAACTATATTTAAGGCTATTGTAGAATATTAAAATTTCATTAAGAGAGATATCGAAAATCTTATTATTCTCCTCTATTCCCACATTTATATATAGTATAGATAAATAGATTAACCGTATCTATCTATCTATCTATATTATATATAAAAGTGGAAACGAGGGGGAATAATGAGATTTTCGATAGCGCCCTTAATGAAATTTAAAATATCCTAAAATAACCTTAGTCATAGCCTTAGTCATAGCCAATTAGAAAATTATATTTTATTATGATATATTTATAAAAATTATTTTTTAAGCCAATCATGTGTGGTTTGATTGTCTTTTTCATGTATATTATTTTCTTTTATCATTTCATTTGTGAGGGTTATTCATTGTTGTATAGCCGTAGTGTTATTTTGTCCCATTAGGCCTCCTAATAAATTTAAAAAATTATTTTTTTAAATAAATATATATAGATAATTAAGCATTTAAGCATTTAAAAATTTAAGGATTTATCTTGCTTAAATTTATTTTTTAATAAATATATAGGATAATTGAGAGCATTTGAAAATATTTTTATATTTTATTTAATTAAATATTAATTCTTTAGGATATAGATAAAAAAGAAAGAAAAATTGTTCTTTTATTAATAATTTTTCTTTTATATTTGTATGATTTGATTGGATGTATTTTTAAAAATAAATTTTCAAAATAGAATAACATGCAATATTTATTTAGGAGAGATAAAAAAGTATATATTTTGATTAATATTTTTTCTTTATGTTTGTAAGATTGTGATTAATATATTTTTTTAAAGTAAATTTTTGTTAATAGAAATTATATAATTAAACCTGAGATTGATTAAAACATTTTGAAAATTTAAATTTAAAAATATATATAATATTTTATTGAATATTTATATATCTATATACACTGAAACATCTTTTTGTTATGTGAGTTTTGAAAGAGTTTTATTCTTAATAATAATTTTTTATTTTCTTTTTCAAGACTGAATAATTTGTAACTACTATCATTTTAATTTAGTAAAAGTTTTATACCTCATTGCAATAAATATATGGTCTATTGATGATTAAACATTTTTAATTTTTTTGATATTTTTTCTCTTATATTTTAAATCTGTTTGATTTAAAAGAAAATAATGTTTAGAAATTGAAAAAAAAATAGAACTATATGGTTCTGTTTGAGTCACTTTTTGGAGTTTTAAGAATTTGTGTGTATGTGCATATATTATTTTCTCTTATATGATGGGTAAATAATACTACTATCATAGCTAAAGTGATTTCTATTATTAATTCAAATCATCCTCTCATTTTTTTTTAGCTAGCATAAAAAATAAATTATTTTTATTTTTATTTGCATATAGACATTAATTTGGAGTTAAGGGCAGAGATTGGAGATTTAGTGGTGGCTTGATTTTCTTTTTGGACACCTATTAAGATTTTAAAAATCTTCATTTATAAATTAAGAACTAAATGATTAAGTTTAGGGATTTGGTTGAACTTTATTCTGAGACCACTTAATTATATAAAAATAAAATTAGGTATATAAGATGTAGCATTGCAAGTAGTTTGTACGGCAAAGTATAATATAATTAACCACTTGTATTTATTTTAATCTAAACAGAACTTATGATTTAATATTATATAGATAAACAATGAGTATATAATGAGCATGGTCAACGTGCAACGCACATTACAAAAGACTAATATATACAAAAAGACTAATATATATATTATATATATATATATATATATAATATATATATATATTATATATATATATATATATATATATTAATTTTTTGGGAATTTTTTGGTCTTTTATTTTCTTTTTTGGATAATGTTATTTTTTATGCCTATATTTATCTTCTTCTTTTTTCTTATTTTGATATCTGAATGAAAAATTATGATAATTGAGTGTCTAAACTTACATTTTTTTTTTCAATTTGGTGTCTCCTGATGATATGGACAAATCAAAATGTCTAATGGGATTAAATAGGACTCACATATATCTATGTGTCCACTTATATAGCCTAACATTTAATCCATATAGGCTATCCAACGTGGCAATCATGCTGAAAATACCCACTTAATCCCCTCCCTCTCCTCTTTCATTCATTATTCTTTGAACTAAAGGACTTCATTATTATTATTCTTTCACTTGATCATTATAAATGTGTTTAATTATCTTTTCGATTTTTCAATTTAAGCCATTAATTCTCATTGCATTTGAATTTAAGTGGGATATGCAATTTATCTAAAAATCAGTTTTTTATTTAATTATCACCTTAACTTTGCACTAAATGACCCAAAAATTGTATAAAAAAAATAAAAATAGTTTTTGACATTTATTATATATATATATATATATATATTATATATTACTCAAGCAAAAAATTAATTTCAAAATGTGGTCACTCTTTACTCTTTGGCATTCTAGTTTTGATTTTTACAATGGTTATTTCTCTTGTATGGGTTTTTTTTTTTTTTTTTTTTTTTTTTTTTTTTTTATGTTTATTTCTTCAATTCCGCAATCATTTTTTTTTTTTTTTTTTTTTTTTTTTTTTTATGTTATTTCTTTCAATTCAATTCATTAGACCATTATGTGTATTCAATTGTTTTTTTATATTTGCATATAGTTACTATAACACCCATATACTCCAAGGCTAGATATGGTGAAATCGTGAAAATGGTAATATTGGATTCATGAAGATGGTTCCAACCAAGTCTATGGTGGTGGAAACCTTCTCCATGGAGGTTCGAATTTTTTTTAGGAACATGCACTATAATGTTGCTATTGGTCTTATTAATACTTTGAGAAGGAAGACCCAAACGAAGCTAAGGTGACTAAGTTTAGTGTCAAGAAGGGACAAAAATGAATTGTGCAGTCCATAATTTTCAATAATTATATTGAGATTTTTTTCACTATTATAATTTCGTGAAATGTTTTTAATGGATAAATGATAAATGGGCTTTGGGTGTTTATTTTGGTTTGGTGTTTGCGACTATTTTTATTGTTTTATTATTTAGTTTAATATTTTGTATGAAATTAACTCTCATTTTGTGATGCCCGCATGAGTTTTCAAGCTACAATCTCTTTAGCAAGCTAAATAAGATAACGAACATCTTACTAAGATGCATTTTTCAAATATTTAATTATTATTGTTTTTTTTTTGTTTTAAGTATTTGTTTTTTCGTAAAAAATATTTATTTTTAAATTTAATTTGTTTTTTAAATTTAATTTATAACAAACAATGATAGATATGTATAGATAATTTTTGTTTGTTTTCTATTTTCTTATCTTCCTATTTTCTTATCTTTAGATATTTTTTAAAAATTTAATTTATTGTTATTAGATAATAGAGGCTTAAACGAAGAGGAGTTTTTATCTATGTGTATATATTTTTTTAAAAGCATGCTTAATTACGGATTGATTTTTTTAACAAATCATGTGCTACTATAGATGTTCTTTTTTACTTCTTGTTAACTTTTATCAACGTGATTAGGACATAGTTATTTATTCGTTATTTTAATTTTGGATTGGATCATAAAAAAATACGCGGGCTTTCATCTAGTTATTAATAAAATAATAACTTTTACTTAATAATTTTTCTTAATGAAAAATATTGAAATGTATTATCTTATTCTTTTTTTTTTCTTTAAAAAAAAAAAAAGAAAATTGGGCCTTTTTATTGCAAGTAAATATGGAGTGATAATTGTATATTATATAAAAAAAAGAGTTAATTTTTGGATAACTTTTGGAGGAGGGAATTGTGCATTCGGTTAGGTGAAGGAAATTGAGAGTATGCAAATAGGTGCAATTGTGTGCACAATTGGCGATGCATGCATTCCATTCGGATAGGAAAATCTCCAACCCTATCGCCACCCGCACAAACCACGCAGGCTCTGTCTTTTTATCCTTTAACAGTTCAGCTCGGAATGATTTTAGCAGAAGGATGAGATTGTCAAATAGACCTTCGACATCACCAAATCTCATTATTCGAAATTGGCGATCTATTTTGGCAAACTTCACAGGTCGTATCAAACGGACCAAGCTGTTGAGGAAAAAAAATCTCCAGGTAAAGGAGGCTTTTGGAACTCTTATTCTTTATCTTTTAGAACTGCCATAACAATCATGAATCCTGTTTTACAGGTTAACGATGAAGCTGCCTCTGATCGAATAACATTTGAAGGAGATAAGGATTTACAAGACGGTACAGAAAAGGAATTGATGTCCCTTGGTGTTGGTGGATTGGCTGAAATTTTCGATTTTATAATGGACAATGTATTCACACGGTAAGAATACTCTATTTTGAAACCCAAATTTGTCATTCTCTTCACTTTTAGATTATTCTATTGGAGTTCTGCTTTACCAACGCATAAATTGTAGGATTTGTAGTAGGGCAGGTCGCAAGTGGATTCTCTCCCTAAACCAAACCAACCTATAGGATAGTGGCGTATATACAGTGGGGGAATTGCCCCAATTGCTACTTAAAGATTTCCTTTCAGATTACATGGGTTACTTGAATTTGTCTTCGCTAAATTGCTTATTCTTACCACAAAAATGCCCCTACTTGAAAGTTGAGTTATGGGTTCATGTGGTAATATTACTTTGATTAATTTTTCTGTTGTATTTATAATGTTATTTTTATGAACTGTTTTTATATGCATAGTGGTTGATAAAATAAAAAATAAGAAGATTATACAATCCATCTCAATTTATAGAAACGTCAGGACTATTTGTTACTTTCTAAACTAATATTTTATGAACACACATTTACCCATGTGTTGCCTGACACCAACAAATTTTCTAGCTCCTTTAGTGTATAGGAATATAGTACCCCTCACTTGCATTGCCTCTTGATTAGATCCATCATGTACGCCACCCCCACCCAAAACACCTCAGTGTCATTGTACGTGAATGTAAAAATCATCACCATTGGTACATATGGGTTTTGAAGGTTTAAAAGCAACAATAAATCAAAGACCAAAGATCCCAAGAATAAGGTGCAAGAGAGACAAAACCCTTAGTAAAATAGAAATCTATATGAAATTTAGTACATGAAAGAATATTGGAACCTTTCATGTGAAATTGGAGAACCTTAGATGCAGATGTTGAGAGAAGAAAATGAGTAGAACTTCAGACGTCGAAGTGAAGCTCGAAGTGAAGCTCGAAGTGAAGCTCTTTCAGGAAGAAATAGAAAAGTAGAGTAGCAAGATCAGTTTCATATATAAATGCAATTATGTAACGAATTCCAAAACTTAATATTCTTATGTATTTATCAAATTGGACCACGTACACATCCATCCTCAACTTGACTTGCTTATTTGCTCCTGTTACTTGGCTGTTTAGGTTTGAGTGGAGTGGGTAAGTTGTCCTTCTCTTTACCATCCTTAGGCATAAGGTTGCAAGGATGAAGTGCTTTGTAGGCCCAGTTGAGGCACATTAACCTAGGCACGGCAGGTTCATTGAACCGCCAGTTTCGGTTCACGGAACCGGCAATTCAAAATTTTTAAAATGTTGAACCTGAACCGAGCCCTTGAATCGCCGGCTTCAGTCTGATTTCAGTTCCGGCCAGTTCTGTTGAACCAATGGTTTCGATCACGGTTGGGCGATATATGTATCATTTTTTTTAAAAAAAATTTGGTTCTAATGGTACATCTTTCTTTCTAAAAAATTGATGAGTTTAAAAAATATTGGTAAATTTTATTTTAAATAAATTTTAGAATGCTCATATTCATATAAGAATAAAATTAATTAATTTTACAAAATAATCAATTCATATCATTATAAGAATAAAATTAATTAATTTTACAAAATAATTCAAATAAATGTATCATTTTATTTTGTCCAAATGTATTGATCTAAAATAAATTGCTAGAAAATTTTTTGAAAAATGCTTTAAACAATGTTAATTTTGAACTAAGTAAACAATCTATAAGAAAAAAAAAAAAACGTAATTTAGACTAATATTTCACTTATTTTACATTTTACTTTTTAGATGTTTAAACTTTTCAAAGTAAAGTGTATTTTCAAAAAAAAAAAAAAATCTTAAGTGGTATCATTAGTAAAATATTTATGTAGTAAAAAAAAGTGTATTTTCAAAAAAAAAAAAAAAATCTTAAGTGTATCATGTAGTAAAATATTATGTAGTAAAAATCTTAGGCCTATAGAATAGGCTAAGTGATTATCATTTTGAAAATAAAAATAGAAAATTTACGGTTTGGACCGAACCGGAAGTGCCGGTCAACCACCGGTTTTGGGCTGGTTCAGGTTCAGATTTTAACATTAACATGAATTTTAACTAGCCCTTGAATCGCTGGTTCCAGTTCAAAACTTTGAACTGAAGATTCTGATCCGGTTCCAGTTCATTTACAGTACGATTTAGTTTCGGTTCAAAATGAACCCGTGCCCATGCCTACATTAACCTAGATTCCAATGAGGCTCCTTAAGCATTCACTTGACCTTAGAGCCTTAGGTGAATTATGTACCAATGCGTAAAACAATAGATTTTGTGATATATGGTAATTATAAAGCCTCCTCTATGGAGGTATGCTCAGTTGCTTTGTATACTGTATTACATCCATCCCAAAATTATATTCCACTTTGATTTTGGCACAAAAATTCAAATAAGCCTTTTGGATGAAGTATTTTTTTGTTAATTTACCGGTTTTATCTTTTCATGGAAAGTGGCATAAAATTCAATTTTAGTTATTTCGAAAATATTTTAACAATATAATCTTTTGACTTGTTGAAAGCATGGAAGATCGAGTAGCACCCAAGACCACTAACAAAGAAAAGTAAATAAAGTAAAATAGGACTTGTTTCTAGTTTGATAAACCTTGTTCCTATGAGTGCTAATGCTGTATGATTTGTCATAGCTAATTACTATAAAGAAGTGTTGATAAAGGCCCTGGACATACTAAAGTGCAAAGGGTTCCAAGGGTCTTGGAACGTAATTTGCAAAAGGGTCCTAGTTGAATAATAAGTGTATAAGCTTATGGTAAAGGATTAAAGGATTTGGAAAAAGTTTGTTTTTTGTATATATATATATATACACGCATATATTATCGTATGGTCTTTTTCAAAATCATTTTTCTTCACAGTTTTTTAATTCTATTTCATAGAATTGGTGTTTTCACATTGCAGGCTAAAGGTCAATAATGTCAAAGGAATACTTCTCTATGGGCCACCGGGAACTGGGAAAACAGCATTGGCAAAAGCTCTTGCAAAGATACTACATGCTAAGGAAAGGGTTACTATGGATCAAAAATGTCTCCTTTGCACTTTACACAAGTTTACAAATGCACTGGAAGCTTTTTTAGCTTATAACAGTGATTACTATAATGAATAATTAAATATTTCAAAAATCAAATCATGAGAAAATAGCATAACTACTTGTGCACAATTATATGTATAGGTCATTTTTGTACATGCCCTTACATTTTTTCTCTCATGCATTACGTGTTTCATTTCTTCTACAGGCTACAAAGTGAAAATATTGAACTCCTATCTTGGAAATCCTTTTCTTTTGCTGGAGTTATTTGGATTGTGTCTTATGATTTAATGTGCCCTTTCTATAGGTTGTTATGGGGCACGAGTTGATGTCAGGCAATGTAGACGAGTCAAACCACAGTTTGAGAAAGCTATTTGACGAGGCTACAAATGATTACAGAAAATATGGTTTGTGATGATGTATTTGTATTATTTATCAATTTCTTTAATGGATTTGTAAAAAGAATGATTCATTTGTATATGCATATTGTTGTCCTTACCCTTCATAGGAGATCAAAGTCCCCTCCATATGATAATTTTTGATGACATTGATTGGTTCACACAGGTAAAATTTATGCTTGTGATTATGAATATCAATCTAGGTTCTAGTGCACTTACATGGATAATAGTAAAGCACGAAGATTTGTTTTTCCTTCTCTGTTGTAGGGCTTTGGAAGACTTCATGAATTGTTGAGAATGGTAATTCTTTCTTTATATACTTAGAAGAAGTTTTTTCTTAAATTGTGTGATACATTGATGGGGATGGTGTTAAGGGAGGAAGAGATGGACTTAAAGACCCATTACTTGTTGTCATCAGCTCAAACTAAATTATAAGCAATAAAAACAAATGATTCATATAGTTGACTCCAACTAGTTTGGAATTAGTTATTATTGTATTTAAATGAAATATTTTTAGCAAAGATTTTTTTTTTTCCAAATTCTCTATACTAAATGTAAACCCTGCATAATCCAGATCGATGATGTAAATGCATATGGCAATATCTTCATTATTGGAACAACAAATAGGATGGATTTAATCCACGGGTCACTCTTGAGGTAATCTACTACTCTCTCATATATTAGATTTATTGCGTTGCATAATAGGCAACAAATATTTACAGCTGTGATTCATTATTCTAGCACTTTGTGTTTGATAGTTTTTCAAAGGGGATAAATTAGAGTATTAGATTGCCTCAGCGAATGTCTAATGATGATTGTTTAGATTTTATTAATTGTCGGATTTAAAACATTATTATCTATTCTTCATCTTGATTAAAAGAATATAGTCGCAGGTAAATTTTCATATTGGGGTTAAAATATTGCGTAATGAACTAAATTACCCCAAACTTTGCATGATATTGCACTTCCCCCCAACCTTTAAAAATCAGCTATTTTACGCTAAACTTGATAACTTATTCATAATTCTACCCTATGGTTAAATTGTTAAAATTGAGAAAGGAATACTCCTCTGTCCTAAAATTATAATCCCAAATATTTTTCACCGACTTTAAATACTTAGTTAAATTTATTTAATTATAATTTTTTTTCTTATTTTTCCGTATATACTCTTAAAGACCCTAAATATTTTATATTAATAATTCCTTGGAATTGTCAGAATAGGATGAATAATTAGTATACCAAGATTTCAAAATTATCTTAAGACTTTTTCTCCACTATCCAGTGAATTCAACTAATAGTAATTATTTATATGAATTATTATATAATAGTATTGTGGGAAAATTAAAAGAAAAATGTTTTTAATAATATAAATGAGATTATTATTTTGGAACACTCAAACACAAAAGTGAGACTATAATTTTGGGACAGAATTAGTAATATTTTATTAATGGTTAGAATAAAAAATTAATTTTTAATTTTTCTTTTTCAATCTCTCTTTTTTCCCTTCTTTCTCTTTCATATCTCTTCCTCCTTCCATGGTATACTTTAGTTTTCCTCTTGATTCTCAATTTCCTCTATTGCCATCAATGGAAGTGAAGGCACGAGAATCGGTCGATGCCACCACACATTCTGTAAATCCAAATAAAGGTTTTTGCATGAACGCTAAAACCTTTTACAGCCTAAGACCATCAAGACCTTTGTTTGTCACAACTACATGAACTTCTGTCCATTATCAAATCATTTTTCTACTTCACTTGGCTCACCTAGCAATCTAGCATCATACCTTTTTTCGTCAACTCATTGATAATGCTATTATATCACATACGCTCAATTTCTTAGACAGATCAGAACTCTCTCTTTGTCAAAACTCTCTACTTAAAAGAGTATTGATCTCATATACTATAAAAGAGGTTGGGACAAAATTGCAGTAACACAAATTTTAGTTAATTTAGATCATTAAACCTAAAATAATCAAAATTCTCTAAGTAGTATATAATTATAAAATGATGCATAGTTTGTGGTATATTAAACTATTTTTCTTTTCATTTTTTAGTAAATTTATCTCTTGTAGGTGTGGGATTCAGTTTCATTTTAAAGTATAATTATTAATAGGGACACATCAGTAAGGATTGACAGTGTTAAGGTTTTAGACTCCGTATTGCCAACTATGTAAATTACATTTTTTTTTTTTTTTTTGTTTAAAAAGAAAAAGTTTCAGAGAACCTCTAGTGGAAAGGGTGATACCGCAAGGTTTTTTTTTTTAATACTTCTCTCTCAATTTTCACTCCCACAGGGATTAAAAGAACAAAAGTTTCCAGCTTTGGATGTCGTATAAGGAACTTATGAATTCATTTACATCATGCAAATCACAAGATTCAATAAGGATGAGTTTTAGGGTTCTGCAGTAAAGAAAAAGGGGAATTTAGATTAGGAAATTGAATTAGAGCTCCTCAGAGTGAAAAAAGAAATTGGAGTTTCTAAGTGGCAGTTTTTGTCCATCAAGTTAGAATTTGTAAATTCCATATGAATAATAACTAGAAATACACTGGAAAATATCAGAATTTTCTCACCCTTGTCTTGTAGCAGGCTGGTTTCCGCAGCTATTTCTCCCTAAATATTTTTCAGCCATGGATAATATTGAACTTTAAATATTTTTCTGTGCAGACCTGGCAGGCTGGAGCTTTGCCTTGAAGTTGGGGTCCCTAATGAGAAAGGTCGTGTAAACATATTAAAGGTTCATACGCAAAGGATGAACCAGTGCGGTTTACTCGATTCAAATGTGAACCTTGAACAAATAGGCGAGTCATTTTGCCTTAAAATGTTTGTTGCTGATAGCAGCTGAATGAATTTTTCAAAGTGATTGTTATCTGATAATTTTAATGTCTGTTTATGTAGCTTCCATGACTGTTGGTTGGAGCGGGGCTGAGCTTGCCAGTGTTGCTAAGTCGGCTCTCTCACAAGCTATTATCCGCACTAATTCTACCATGTTAGGGGAAGTCAATAGAAGGTGGATTAGAGTAAACCAAGAAGACTTTCTTCATGGTGTTCGATTTATAATTCATGATCGATGAAGATATTTGGTTCTCATCCCTATTTACAAGTGTTGTGATTCAGACTTTTTATAAGGTCATACGACATCATAAGAGTTGATATTATTCCAAGCTGGATGCAAATTTGTGTCTGTCATATTTTGTTGATTTGAGATATTTCCTGTCGACAATATACGCCTTTTTAGAGAAATTATTTTGTTCACAAATATATACTGTTTTATTAACATTTATTTATAAGACTGTTAAAAAAAAAAAACATCACCAAATAGCATGAATCTTCAATGGTAATTTCTCACGAAGTTTTTAGTTAAAAAGAGTAGAATTAATGAAAAATTTTAAGAGATTAACTACAAATTTCTTTGGCTAATGACAGTAGAAGAAAGAAAGAAAAATAACTTAAGCACCATTGTATGAGAGAGAGGAAAGGCAGGTATTCACAAATTATGCGGTAGGAGCCGTGAGTTTTAGGCTGTGTTGGACAATAATTTTTTAAATAGCTTTTAGAGTTTTGACTAAACATTTTTTATAGTGTTCGATAACATAAAGTTTAAACGGTTAAAATAACGTTTTATAAAATGTTTGCTTTTAGCATTTTATGAAAAACTACTTAAACAATTAAATTTACCGAAGAGACGCTTATAGTGAATATGGTCATATGTGTTTTAATTCAATATTGCTTAGAGAATCAATTCTCTGCATGTCTCACAGACTTCAATTGGTTTCTCAAACAACAGTTAATAAGTATGATACGAATCAGTTTTATCATTACTTAGAGTTTGTTGGTCAAAATTAACTTTTTATAAAACGCTAAAAGTTAAATGTTACATTATAAAATGATATCTTAACATCTAAAAGTTAGCTCAAATACTATGTTATCAAATATTATAAAAAATAGCGTTTAGTGTTTTGATTTTATAATAGAGTTTAATGTTTTGATTGGTCAGGACGCTAAAAAGTTACTGAAAAAAATTACTGCCGAATACAATCTTAATTATGAAGTCTCCATCATTATTTCTAATTGTTTAATGAATTTTAAACAAATACTCTAAGAAACAACAACCCAAAGTTAACATTCCTTAACCATTATTTATTTTGAATTGTTTAATGTATTTCCAAGCATGTTTAAGAAACAGTAGCCTCCATCAACTTTCTAAACATCATTTACTTTTACTTGTTTAATAAACTCAAAGAATATTTAAGAAACAACACCCAAGGGCAGAGCCACTACATGCCTAGGATTGCCACGTGCCACCCTCAATTTTTTTTTTTTTTACTGAAAAGGTCAATTGTAGGTATGATAGGTAGGTATGTTTGTTACATGCAATTGTATAATGAGTTTAATGACAAAGATGTGACAATTTAGTTGTGCTGTGAATTTTGCATATGTAGAGCACCTCATATGTAAGAATGCTTCATGATACATCCGCTGACCTTAAAGTGGGGAGCAGGGGTGTGTATGAATCGGATTGATACAGAAATTACGTAATTTTCAATTTCATCCCAAAGTATCAAGATGTAAAAAATAGAGTCTCAATCCGGTTCTAATAGGTTTGTAGTCCCGTTTCATCCTGCCTCGAAACGAAAAATGATGAAAATTTGGAATCAGTTTCAAATCTATTTTACTCTTCATTCTCCTCTCTACAATTTTCTTTGATCTCACCTTTTCACCAAAGCTTCTGTTGCATTCTACAGGTGATCAAACCTGGTTCAAATTGTCTGTTGAGGAATCTCCATGACCTTCAAAATAGTTCTTATATTTCACATGTGGTTTGAACTGGCCATAATTAATATTTGAAATAAAAATTTTATCACTCAATATTTAAGTGATGACTTCTTGCTACGTGTCATAATGCATATTACCAAGTACCAATCTATTTTTTGGTGAATAATTTAATTGAAATCTTTCATCTATTTCATTGCAGCTGAAAGATCCATTAACTACAGTATTTTTTAATATCCTAATTACTTTGTTGGAAAATTGAAATACTCCGAAATTTTATTTTCAAAACTTTGAAATTTTTATTAAATCAAAAATCTGAATTTTTGATAATATGGGTTGTTAAGACCGAGCAAGTTTAACTTGAGCCCAAATTTGAACTGGCCAATATATATAATATATAATGGAAATAGAAAAAGTTAATTATCACTCAACTATTTTAAGTGATGACTTCTTGCATAACGTGTCATAATGGCATATAAACCAGAGAAAGTAACCAACGTGATTTTAATTATTGGTGGAATTAAGTTAAATTGAGAAATCGTTTCATCCCTATTTACATTTGGCAGCTGAACAGATACCAATAACTACCAGTATTTTTTTAAATATCCCTAATTACTAGGTTGTAATTGGATATTAGTGAAACCTGACTTCGAAATTTTATTTGTCAAAAAACTTTGCAAATTTTATTTAAATCAAAATCTGAATTTTTTGAATAATATGGGTTGTTTAAGACGCGAGCAAAGTTTAACTTGAGGGCCCAAAATTTGAAAAATATGGGGATATCCACAAACCCAATAAACAGACTGTCCCGGAAATTTTGCATATGAAAATAAAATGGAATTATATAACTAAGTTATCCTGAATTAACTTAGTGTCGTAATTATTATTGTTTGTATTATTAGAAAGTTAAATTAAAGAAAGAAATGTTTTATAAATGACCACATCTATAAATGAATTTAAATAAATTCGAACGCTAGACCTCGAATTCGAGAGTTTGAAATTGTGTCAGAAAAACTACCCACGAAACTAATCTAAAAAATCGAGTGATAAAAAACTCGAAAACCGAAACAACAAATAAAAAGAGAGCAAAATCGATATTAAATCATACACAAGACCTGGGTTCTAAACTCTCGAGAAACCGGAAATGGTCCAGAAGCCACTTTTCTTGTCCTTTTCCTCTTTTCTTTTTCCATATCTCCTCCTTCCCTCCTTTCCTTCTTCTTCCTCCGGGCTGCGACATCTCTCCTCTCGTCCGCCTCACATACGACTAATCATCGTCTCGCCTCACGAAGCAGCCATAGGAAGTCGATCACCATAAGTGCACTGGAACGACCATACTTTGCCTACCACTCTACCGAGTCGAGATGAACTCTTCCCCTGGATCCATCTAGTTTGCGTTTTTAGGTGATGAGGCCTTGAAATATGAGGAGAGAACGATTCGCGTTAGTAAAGGGGAAAAGGAAAAGTGCTGTCACACTACGCCGAATGAAGTTCGTTCCTCGGCCGAAATAATCTCTCGTGAGTTCGAGTCCGACTCCAAGTGCTCTTGGGGTTTGGTCATACAAACAACTACTCTTCTACAATGATGATAATCCGTTTTCCCCCATTAATTTTGTGATCTGTTGTTTGTAGTTTGAGGGTAATGCCAACCATGGTACGGCGGCTTTGAAGGTTGCTGTGCGAGCTAGATCCCGGCCAAAACGAGGCACTGGCTCAACAAAGTGATAGCAGATTTGGGATTCATCACGAAAATTGGGAGGCGGTAGTGGGTGTACCTTGAAATTTCTGGCGGTTTCGATTTTCCGGGCCACTCTTGTGGCCATACAACCGCGCTCTGGTCGTTGTCCCGGCAGAGCGGTCCAGAGTGATCCGGCCGGCGGCGCTCCGGCGAGGCCCCCGAGAGAACAGAATCTCCTCCTTCCTCTTCCCTGTACTGACATCAATGGAAATACGTCGCCGATTCCCCAATGGGTAACGTTCTAGAGACTTAATTCTCAATTTTTTATATATAAAGCATTAATTGAGATGTAAAAGAGATTATAATATAAGAGTTTATTAACTAGACTAAAAATGAATAAACAAGACATTAACTTATTTGGATTAACGTATTAAAAAAATATATGAACCTTTTATGGTCCTTACTTTGATAAAATGAAATTAGAATTGATTAGTGGTGCCTTGTATGTTTAGGAATAGTCGAACATAATTTGGTTAAACTGGTTTAGGACTTTAGAATATGTAATTTGGTATAATTAGTTTTAGAACATTGTTCAAAGATAAATTACATGATTAATTATTAAAGATATTAAGGAATGTATTTGAGAGGAGAAAGAATAAATTAGAATTTAGTTTAATTAGTCAAATTAAGAATAACTCATTAGGAATTTAAAAACTAGCAGGATTGTGCATAAGAGAAATAAGACAGAAATTTTAGATTGGTTAACTCGTATAAAGAATTAGAAAAATTCGATTAAATTAAGAGATTTGGGAGGACCCATAGCCATATTTCTGACCTATTGAATATATATAAAAAAAAAATTTGAATTTTATTTTATAGGTAGTAGTTATAAAAATTAGTTTAGTGGTTTAATAACTAATATTGTTATACGCTGTTTAACAAATTAGTTTACCGTAAAGCTAACTCAATGATTAATTAATTTAATTGACTTAATATAAATAAATGAACTCTAATATGGATAAATTTATATTTAGGAATTTAGTTTTGTTAAATTTTTTGTCGTTGAGTGTCTTAATATTGTTGTTGTATGAATTGAAAGGAGAGGATGGTGAATGGTGTTAACATAAATTGATTGATTGCCCGACGGATGGGCTGTTGGTGCATTGATTGATAGAACGATATTAATTGATCATTTTGTATATGTTGAGACCAAAGAAGGTAGACTAGTATATTTCATAGACCATATGTTTTAGGGAGATGTTGAGTTCACAAGGAAAGCTTGTAGCATTGCGGTATGTAAATTTTTTCTAATATAGAATCGCATCACTAGACTAATTTTAAGTAATAAAACAATATATAAATAAACTTATTTAGATAATTCCTATAATTTGACCATCATAATAAATAAGGTACTTTAATTACTTTAAACATTATCATTATTATTCATCTGCTCAATTATTTATTTATGATCATTATCAATTGTTTATAGTTATTTATTATTTATTTTATCATTGTTTATTGTTAATTGTTAATGGGCATTTAAATTATTTTAATTTTGCAGACATTTAAGAAATTGAATGGTCTAGATTGGTGCATTGCATCACGATGTTCATTGATCAATATGTCTGCAAGTTTAATTGCAATGTTTGATTTAATTGTGTTGTGGTAGTGCTATGCTTGTTTGTTGTGGTATTGGGATGAAGTGGGATCACACAATGGGTTTGGTGAGGACGGTTGGACC